GGGGACCTCTAGCCGTCTGGAGCGGAGGGAGCGCTTGGAGCCCACCTATCAGCTGTCCCGCTGGACGCCGGTCATCAAGGACGTGATGGAGGTGCCGAGGGGGTGGGGACGGGCCCAACCTCCTGGATCCAGTCTCGGCTCAGCCTCCCTCAGGCCCGCAGGCTAAGCCCAGGGCTTAAGGGAAAATCCCTCATGACTGGCATTCCCCTGGCACCGAGCTGCACCGTCCAGGGGAGCCCCCCTGCCCACAGCTGGGGAATTGGGGCAACCGAGGGGCCCCTCGCTGGGGAGCCCTCCTTCTTCCCCAACTGCCACCACCTCCACAGTGGCTCTTTGTTCTCCCCCCTCCCTGGGAGTCCTCAGCCTTCCTGGGACTCCAGAGTGGTGGCATGAGATAGGGCTGGCCAGGGGCTCGACTTTCTGACTTTCTGTCTGTCCTCCGAGCCCTCCAGCCTGGGCCCAGTGACCCAGGCCTTCTCAATCCCATAGATCTTGCGTGCCTGGACACTGAGGCCCCAAGGAGCTGGAGGTGTCGACTCCTGGGTCCCCTAGGGGTTCGGAGTCCAGGTTCCTGGGCTCCCCAAGGGGCTGAGCACCCAGACTCTTGCATCCTCAAGGGAGGGTCTAGACCCCTGGGTCCCTACAGGGCTGGGCTCCAGTCTGCTTGGACCTTGGACCCTGAACATACCCTGAGGAGGGGACTCCAGGCCTCAGGCCCATGGTCTGTGGCCCCTGTCCTAGCCCGCCCTCTCTGGCCACCAGGATGCCGTGGAGGACCGACTGGACCGGAAGCTGTGGCCCTTTGTGTCTGACCCCGCCCCCACGCCCAGCTCCCAGGCGGCTGTCAGGTGAGGGCCATGGGCCGGACCGCCTATGCCCAGGCTCCTGTTACACGGGGTAGGGGTATGGTGAGGTGGGAGTCTCCCATCTGGACTGTCCTCTGCCCCTGCCCCATGCAGTGCCCGCTTCGGCCACTGGCACAAGAACAAGGTGGGCATGGAGACCCGCGCAGGGCCCCGGCTCATCATCTATGTGGTGGGCGGCGTGGCCATGTCGGAGATGCGGGCAGCCTATGAGGTGACGAGGGCCACCGAGGGCAAGTGGGAGGTGCTCATTGGTGAGTAGTCAGGACCAGGGTGCCCCAGGGGCTGGGGCTGGGGCTCGGGCTCCCAGGGAAGGGGTCACTGGGGGCTGGAGTCTTCTGGTCCTGGGTTCCAGGCTCCTGGGTCATCAGCGTCCAGAGTGTGGTTTGAGGAGGGGCAGGGACACGCCCCCTCCAGCCGGAACCCCGGCCGCGGTGTGTCTGGGCGAGGCAGCCCCCGCCATCTCCCCACACCTCCCCTCCCGCCCAGGCTCCTCCCACATCCTCACCCCAACCCGCTTCCTGGATGACCTCAAGATGCTGGACCAGAAGCTGGAGAACGTTGCCCTGCCCTGACCCACCCCCCACCCTTCCAGACAAATAAACTCTTCCCTTCTTTTTGTCGCCCAGCACCCTCCTCACTTGCTTTCTTTTTCTTTTTGAGTTGGAGTTTCACTCTGTCACCCAGACTGGAGTGCAACGGCACGATCATGGCTCACTACAGCCTCGACCTCCTGGGCTCAGGCGATCCTTCCGCCTTAACCTCCCAAGCAACTAGGACTACAGGCACATGCTACCACGACTGGCTAATTTTTAAATTTTTTGTAGGAACAGGGTCTCGCTATGTTGCCCAGGCTGGTCTTGAACTCCTGGGCTCAGCGATCTTTCTGCCTTGGCCTCCCCAAGTCCTGGGATGACAGGCATGAGCCACCACACCCAGCCCTCACCTTCTTTCCAAGGGAGCCATGGGAGTTGGGCCAGCCAAGCCTCAGGTCCCACCCTGACCTGTCATCTCCCAGAACCTTCCCCTGGCTCCCAAGGGCATCTTAAGCCCTCGAGGTGGTTAAGAACCTGAACTCTAGTTTGAATATTGGCTCCAAGATTGTTGTTTTTTTTTTGAGTTGGAGTCTCACTCTGTCGCCCAGACTGGAGTGCAGTGTCCCCTCCCAGCCACCGCAGCCTTGACCTGCTGGGCTCTGGCGATCCTTCCACCTCAGCCTTCCATGTAGCTGGAACTAGAGGCGCGCGCTACCACACCCAGCTCATTTTGATTTGTTGTGGAGATGAGGTCTCGCCAAGTTGCCCAGGCGGGTCTCGAACCCGCGGGCTCAGGCAATCCACTCACCTCAGCCTCCCAAAGGCACGGGATTACAGGCTGACCACTGAACTGGCTGGCTCCAAGATTTAACGCCAGTGAGGCTTTGGCCAACTTGCAAGGTTTCCTATCCCAAGACCAGGGGCCAATAGCCTAGCAGCCACTTTGCAGAGTAGCTAACAGAGACAGGGAAGGAAGGCTGGTGACATGGCAGTGTGTCAGCTGCTCTGATTCCACTGGTCACTGGAATCGTTTGACCGTTAGTATTATTATTCTATTATTATTATTTTTTTAGTCAGAGTCTCACTCTGTCACCCAGGCTGGAGTGCAGTGACACGCTCATGGCTACTGCAGCCTCGATCTACTGTGTTCAAGTGATCCTTCCACCTCAGCCTTCCAAGTAGCTGGAACTACAGGCATGAGCCACCACACCCACCTAATTTTTTTTTTTTTAATTGTAGAGGTGAGGTCTCACCTCGGCCTCCCAAAGAGCTGGGATTATAAGTGTAAGCCACCATGCCCGGCCGACTGTTAGTATTACTCACACAACAGCCCTGGGAGCTGTCCCAAGGGGACCTGCAGCCACAGGGTGCCATGAGCTGTGTGCAGCTTGTGGCTTCAGCGCCTGTATTCCTGCAACATCCCCCCTCCCATGCCCAGGACACTCACAGGGGCTTTTGACTGCAGGACTTGCCAGAGCCTTTGTTGGGTGCGTTTGATTGGGCTGTCGTAACAAAAACCACAGACTGGGTGACTTAACAGAAATGTATTGTCTCATGTTTCTGGAGACTGGAAGTCCAGGATCCAAGTGTCCGCAGGGCTGGTTTCTGAGGCCTCTCCTTGGCTCCTAGATGACTGTCTTCTCCATGTCCTCACATGGTCTTTCCTTTGTCCAAATTTCCTCCTTTTTAAAATTTATTTTTATTTTTAGAGACAGGGTCTTGTTCTGTGACCTAGGCTGGAGTGCAGTGTATGTAACTCACTGCAGCTTCAAACTCCTGGGCTCAAACGATCTTCCCCCCTCAGTCTCCTGAGTGGCTGGGACTACAGACGTGTGCCACCATGCTCTGCTGACTGTTTAATATTTTGTAGAGATGGGATCTTGCTATGTTGCCCAGGCTGGTTTTGATCTCCTGGCCACAAGCCTTCCGGATTCCTACCTTGACCTCCCAGTGGCTGGGATTACAGGCATGAGCTACCACACCCGAGTCAGAGTCTCACTCTGTCGCCCAGGCTGGAGTGCAGTGGCACGCTCACAACCACCACAGCCTCAGGTGATCCTTCCACCTCCGCCATGTAGTTGGAACCACAGGCATGTGCCATCACGCCCGGCAGGGGGGACTGTGAGAGCCCATGGGACACCCTAATCCACCCAGTCCGTGGGCAACCAAGGAAGGCTGCCTGGAAGAGCTGACGTTTGAGTGGAGAAGGAAAATGGAGAGCCTAAGGGAAAAGTATTGACCGGCGGCCCGATGTGAGGACCCCAGAGAGCCTCGCGGGTCGCGGTGAGGATTTGGGTCCCTGCTGGGACAGGCGCCTGGGGAGGGGGCGATGGAGGGGATGGGGGGGAAGCCAGGAAGCCCCCTTGGTGGGGCGCGGCTGGTTCCCATTCGGTCGCCTCTGGAAGGCCGGGACCAGCAGGGCACCGGGGGCCCCTGGTGCTGAAGGAGGTCCCAGGTCCTCCCGGGAACTCGCGACGCCCGAGGACGCCCCTCCCAGGCACCTGCGCTCCCCGTCTTGCGGTGGGGGCGCAGACCCTCGGAGCCCGCGGCTTCGCGAGCAGGACTCACCCAGGGCGGGGGAGAAAGTAGGTGGGCGCAGACCCCCGAGACGTCCGGGAGACGCGGCGCTCCGGCCGGGCCTGGGGGCCTGGCGGGAGGCGGAGGCCGCGGGAGGGAGACGGTTTTCAAGTGGACCACGGAGCCGGGCGCGGCGGTTCGCGCCTGTCATCCCAGCACTTTGGGAGGCGGAGGCCAGAGGATTGCCCGAGCCCGGGGGCTCCAGACCAGCGTGGGCCACGTGGCGAGCCCTCGCCTCTACGACAAATCAAAAAGCGGGCTGGGTGTGGTGGCGCGTGCCTGTGGTTCCGGCTGCTTGGGAGGCTGAGGCGGAAGGATCGTCCGAGCCCGGCAGGTCGAGGCTGCCGTGGCCGCGAGCGTGTCCCTGCCCCCCAGCCTGGGCGACAGAGTGAGACTCCGACTCAAAAGAAAAAAAAAAAAAAAGTTGACGACGAGCTGTGGGCACCAGGGAGCGCTGCGGCTCAATGTTCCTGGTTTTGGGACCTTTCGCGTCTGTCATTGGAGACCAGGTGACCCTGATACAGGCCACAGGAAAGTAGGTCAGGGGTGAGTCGCTGGGTCTCAGCGGGACCGCCGCCGCCCCTGACTTCCACTGGGCGACGTCGCGTCTCCGCACCAAAGACACCCATCGCTGCTACATCCTCGCGGGTCCCTGCGGGCGACGCGGCTGACCCAGCAGGCCCCGACCGGGGCGTCTGCACGCAGGATGCAGGATGCTCCAAACACTCCCTCGAGGGTCGCCTGAGCCCAGGAGGTCTGGGCCGCAGTGGGATAGGATGCACCCCTGCACTCCAGCCTGGGGGACATCATGAGACCCCGCTCCCTCATTTTTCTTTGAGTCAGTGTGTCACTCTATCGCCCAGGCTGGAGGGCAGGGGCACGATGACAGTTCACCACAGTCTCAACCTCCTGGACTCAGGCCATCCTCCTTCCCCAGCCTCCCAAGTAGCTGGGACTGCAGGTGCACACCACCGTGCCCAGATGATTTTTTTCTTTCTTTCTTTCTTTCTTTTTTTTTTTTTTTTTGAGTCAGAGTCTCACTCTGTCACCCAGGCTGGAGGGCAGGGGCAGGCTCACAGCCACCACAGCCTCGACCTGCTGGGCTCGGACGATCCTTCTGCCTCGGTCCTTCAGGTAGCTGGAACCACAGGCATGTGTTACCATACCTGGCTGATTTCTTTATTTATTGTGGAGACGAGGTCTCGCCAAGTTGCCCGGGCTGGTCTCGAACCCTTGGCCTCAGGCAATCCTCTCGCCTCCACCTCTCAAAGTGCTGGGATGGCAGACGTGAGCCATTGCGCCCAGCCTGATGCAGCTTTTTATGTGATATTTGTGGGATCCCTGGATTGGACTTCTGAGCTCATCAGGGAAGCCTGGAATGGGGACAGGTCTGAGGGTTATTTGTGGTTACACTGGAAGCCCATGGGAAGCACTAGAAACTGCTGGCTCCTATAGTAACAATAATTATTATTATTAATGATTATGATTGTTAGGCGAGGACAGTGGTTGTCACGTCTATTTTTATGCATTACAGGGTGGAAGTTCTCCCCGTGAGGTACAGGAGACTCTAGAATAATAACTCACTGGCCACCTGTGGTGGCTCACACCTATAATCCCAGCACTGTCTTTGGGAGACTGAGGCAGGAGGATTGCTTGAGGTCAGGAATCCAAGACTAGCCTGGGTAACATCCCCGTCTCTATGAAAACAAAAAGAAACAAAGCAAAAGAAAGAAAGAAAGAAAACCAGGTGGTGCACCTATACTCTCAGCTACTCAGGAGGCTGAGGCAGGAGAATTGCTTGAAGCCAGGAGTTCAAGACCAGCCTGGGCAACATGGCAAGACTCCATCCCTACAAAATATTTAAAAATTAGCCAGGTGTGGTGGTACACACCTGTAATCCCAGCTGCTCGGGAGACTGAGGCGGGAAGATTGCTTGAGCCCAGGAGGTCATGGCTGCAGTGAGTTTATGATTGTGTCACTGAACTCCAGTCTGGGTAACAGAGCGAGATGCTGTCTCTAAAAATGAAATAAAAATAAGAATAAGAACTCATTGAAATAACGAGAGGGAAAGGTTTAAACTTAAACTTGCTCAGTTTAAAAATAGATGAGGAAAGGCTGGGCATGGTGTCTCATGCCTATAATCCCGGCATTTTGGGAGGCCGAGGTAAAAGGATTGCCTGAGGCCATGGCTTCGAGACCAGCCCGGGCAACTTGGCGAGACCTCATCTCTACAATAAATCAAAAAATTAACTGGTCATGGTGGCACATGCCTGTAGTTTCAGCTACTCGGAAAACTGAGCAGGTCAAGTCTGCGGTGGCCATCAGTGTGCCACTGGAGGCAGTCTGGGCGGCAGAGTGAGACTCCGACTCAAAAAAAAAAAGATGAGGGGCTGGGTGTGGTGGCTCATGCCTGTAATCCCAGCACTTCAGAAGGCTGAGGTGGAAGTTCTTATTCTTATTCTTGAGACTAGCCTGGGCAACATAATGAGACCTTGTGCCTATTAAAAAAAAAAAATGA